ACTTATTTGGCCCAAGGACGAACCCTATTGAAATTGGTGAAAATCGGTTCAGATTTAGATATAGCCCCTATATATATTTTTGTCCGATGTAGGCACCAAAGTTCCTATATATCTCTCGATTTGCATAAACTTGGCATAGAGTACTGAATTAGGTCCAGAATGATGTGTGCTAAGTTTCGTGAAAATCGGTTCAGATTTAGATATAGCTCCCATATATAGTTTTGTCCGATTTTATGTAAATGGTGCACCATAGTTCCTATATATATATATATATATATATATAAAGTCCCTATCTTTAGATTGAATTGAGTCTAGAATTACATATGATAAGTTTCGTAAAAATCGCTTCATATTTAGGTATAACTCCCATATGTATTTTCGTCCGATTTTATGTAAATGGAGTACCAAAGCCCCTATATATCTTTCGATTTCACGAAACTAGCCTGGTGTACTAAGTTAAGTCTAGAATAATGAATGATGATGAACCTGAAAATCGGTTCAGATTTTAATATAGCTCACGTATATATTTTCGTCCGATTTAATGTAAATGTTGAACCTAAATCCCTATATATCTATCGATTTCCACCATGTTTGGCATTGCGTACTAAATATCGGTTCAGATTTTGACATAGGTCCCACATATATATTTTAGTAAATGGTGCACCAAACTCCTAATGTTTGTCCGATTGACACGAAATTTTGCACAACGTACCATATATATTTCCAAAGGGTGCCTTATTGAGATTATAAATTTAACAGTGCGGCATACTGAGTCGCGTGTATCATTTTTGCTATAAATCGATTTCCTTAAATATGAATGAAATTTAGCATAGGTTGACATGACATGGAATTGTTAGGATACATATATAATATACATATAGTGGTGAAGGGTATCATATAGTCGGTCCCGTCCGACTTTACTACTTTCCTTATTGGTTTATATTAAAATAGTTATCTGATTTGTTCAGAGTTTTGAGTTTTGTACTAAGACTCTATTATAATCATTTCGCCTGTGGAGGATATCAAGATAACAAATTAGAACGTAAGGTTCGATAATGAACTATAGCCGCATTTAGACCTAGCCCCTGTGTGGAGGTTACAGAAGGAGTGGACTGATATTTCCCATCTTCGAATTTGAAGAAATTTGAAGTTTGGAAGAAATAATAAGATGGGCAAAGTTTGAATGAAATTTTAATTTTCTGAAACGGATTTGGTCCAAAGAAACATGGGGTCTAGAACCAATATTGCATTAGCCATAGGGCTGAGGCTATAACAGGGATGCGAAATGAAATTATTCAAATTGTACTGGCTTTCAATAAAATGTGTACTTTTTCCAGTCCGATTGTACTTTTTATATATTTTTAAATAAAATTTTTATTGTTATTAACAATTAATAAAAACACACTTAAAAAATTAATTAAGATTTGAAGCAGTCGAAGTATGTACTATGTTCCTTTCTTTGGTTTTAATTATATTTTGATATGAAAATACCCTTTCCATATTTGTAGATTCTCTTCTCTATAAAAATTTGTGATATATAAGGAAACATATCTTCGTCTTCGTTTAGTTCATTTTTGACTTCAGTCACCATTGACCAACAAGTGCATATATTGTCGTTTTTGAAAGACTTAATAATTTCTACATGCATTCTGGCACCCTCAGACTGCATTTCTAATTTTATATTATTTATGATTTTTGTACATATGCAAGAACAAAAATAACAGTAACCAGTAAGGAAAGTAGTAAAGTCGGTCGGCACCGACTATATGATACCTTTCACAGCTTTGTGTATATTAAACAGATAAATCCTAACAGACATCGAATTTTTGAAGGATCATTAACATGAAAATGGATCCTTAAACATGCCATCCTGCACATTTTGAGATCCTGGTGTATCATGTACTTGGGTCTTTGGTGAATCATTGACTTAAAATTGTACGAAACTATATATAGGAGCTATATCTAAATAAAAACCGATTTTAACTAAACTTGCCACACGTTATGTTATAGTAACTTCAGTACGTAGCGCTAAATCTTGTGCCGATTGGACCCACTTTGGTGAAGCATATATCCAATATATCCAACTTCTAGGTTATACTAACTTCAGTACGTTGTGCAAAATTTTAAACTTAACACACATCATTCTAGACCTAATTCAGTACACTATACCAAATTTAAAGCAAATCGATAGATATATATAGGGACTTTGGTACACCAATTACATAAAATAGGACGAAAATATATATTGGAGCTATATCTAATCTGGACCGATTTTCAGGAAACTTAGCACACATCGTTCTAGACCTAATTCATTACGCTATGCCAAATTTCGAGCAATTCGAAAGATATATAGGGACTTTGGTACACCATTTAAATTTAATAGGACGACAAAATATATGGGAACTATATCTAAATCTGAACCGTTTTTCCCCCAATTTCAATAGGGTTCGTCCTTAGGCCAAATAAGTGACCTATGCCAAATTTTATCCAATTCGGATCATGAATGCGACCTGCACTTTGTTTACAATTTAACATGGACAAACAGACGGACGGAGATGCATAAATCGACTTAAAAAGTGATTCTATGCATATTCTCAAAAGGAACCATGTGTCTATCTCGTTTCCTTTTGCCTGTTACAAACATATGCAAAAAGGCATAATATCCTGTTCCACAGTGTGGTGAAGGGTTTAAAAAGGATTTGAAAATTCTGAAATAATAGAATCGAGCCTTAACTTTTGGGAATCAGCTTCAAAATCATTGAGTGTAAAATAATATTGAAGTGATTTCCACTGCGCCAAAATTGTTTCAATAACTTCTTGACGTTAAAGCCATCGAGTTGTTGAGTATTTAAAAACAACATGCATATCTGTACCGAAACATTCCTGAAACAATGAAAAATCATCTCTCTCATAGAACTGTTACAAAAATAATAATTAATATCTTTACTGAATTTATCAACCTGATCGGGAATTCTGAATTGGCATAGGACACTACGTTTAAACTGTGGCAAATTCATCCATTCTTAACGACGGCGGGGATGGCGATCTATTTCATATTGAATGTTTAAGCACGTCTAATACATTTAAGTGAGAATAGTTCGATACAATTTAGAAATAGTGCTAAATATGTCATTGGGGTGCTATTGTTCTTCTGACTTCCAAATAGTGCTAAAATTAGTACAATTGTACCAACTTTTGCATCCCTGGGCTATAATTATCCATTAAAAAAATTTGTATTATGGTTTGTATATGGTATTATGGTTTACATAATCCGTTTTTAGAAATGTGTATAGGTCCACTTTTTGGTATGTTCCCTATATTTTCATTTCTAGTACCTGACAGTATATCTATGGGGGGGTGTATCCAAAATCCCGGCCGAACTTAACGCTTTTTCACTTGTTTATATTAAAATAGTTATATGATGTTTTCCATGTTTGGTTTTGGTTCTAAGACTCTTTTTGTAATTATTTCATCTGCGGAAGATACGAACCCATGTTCGAACTTGAACTAATTTTGGTTGAAATCAAAAATTTTTGAAACAAATTTGGTCCAAAGAAACATGGGGTCTTGGACTAATATTTAGAACGATAATCGGTTTTTAGAAATGTCGGTACACTTTTTGGTATGTTCCTATATTTTTATTTCAAGTACCTGTCATTATATCTATGGTGGAGGATATCCAAAGTTCGGGCCGGCCGAACTTAACGCTTTTTCACTTGTTTTTTTTACTATCACAGCCCTAAGCGTGGATTTTTTGAATAATCCTTTTTTTAAATTATAGCTGTTTATTATAACCTTCTATTATACATCGTGTGGAATAAAAGTTCAACACAACTGATAATAAATTATTCACAATTGTTTCTATATATAACGAACATTTATTGTTCAAATAAAAAACCGCTCCCCCAAAATATGTATGTATGAACACTCACCCACACATACGCGCATCAAACATCCACTTTGGTCTAAACACTCTTCAAAGTTGTATTGAAAATGAAGGATGTGAATGATGTATGCGCTATGCTAATGACTTAATAGGATGTTGGTAACATCGTCAGCGACGACTGATGGTTGAAACGAGCGAGCGAATGACTGACAGAATGAATGCATGCATGCATGTGCATGCATCATTGCATGACGAATGAGTAACCCACAAAATGAACGAATGTACCACAAATTTACCGCACACACTACCAACAGCAGCACCACTAAAACCAACACTATCGCGTACCTTCACCTGGCCTAACAACGCGAACGTGCTAATAGAGAACCTAACCCCCCCATCGAACCATGAATGAAAAGTGTTGACATCAATTTGAATTTGGAAAACGAAAAATAAAGTTGTACTTTATTTTGCTGTTGTTGTTGTTATTGTTGTTGTCGTTGGTACTGAATGAAGTGTTGGTTGTAGCAGCAGCAGTTATCGTCTTTGTTTTTGTTGCTGTTACTATTGTTCTTGTTGTTTTGTTGCTTTCGGTGAATAGTTAATGTGGCATTTAATTGATTGAATTGAATTTCACACGAATTTACTTAAAGGATGGAGATGAATATGTAAATGAAATTTGATAGAAGAGTAAATGCGATAAAGGAGAAGAATTTTACTTTAAAATACTGACTTTTGAATGTTGTTTAATGCTTAGCGCGAAAATCAACTATGCCAAATGTGGATTCAATCTTATAGTCAATTCGCTTCAAATACGTTTTACAAATGTTCTATAGGAGAGTTAGCAGAAGTGATCCTATCTTCAGACTTGAGATGAGTTTGGTACATCCCTTCAACTCTTACGATAGTCCTTTTAAAAAATATTCTTCAAAAATCCAACCTTGTGAAAATCTTTGGAAAAATATTCTTTAAACAATCCATGATTGTGTTAGTCATTGAAAGAATTATTCGTTAGGTGTTGAAAATCATCCCATAAAACTTAAAATAATAGAAACAAATTTTTCTCAATTTGTCATAAATTTCACTCTCCTCCCCATTTTGTTTGGTTTTTTTCCAGTGACCTCTTGAAAAAACTATCCGTCAAGGCCGGTCTAATTGGCTGTTTCCGTGGCCTCGTTGTCAACGGCGAAATCTTGGACATTTACAGTTACATGTCCGTGCACTTGTCGGAAATTATCAAAGATTGCAAACCATCCTGTGTGCCAAATCCTTGTAAAAACGGAGCCGAATGCAAGGAGCTGTGGAGTACATTTAAGTGTGTGTGCAACAACACTTGGGCACACATCGGAGAGTTCTGTGAAACCAGTAAGTATAGCTGTGCTGGTTGGTTGACTGGCCGGCCGGCAATCAACGGCTTGGTGACAATCTCACACGCTGTGATTGCCACTTGGCCGCACTTCGATTTGTACAATTACTTATAATTATTTCTTAACACTTTCTTACGCGTTTCCTCCCGCCGCTACACGCGTCTTCATCTCCATCGCTGCCATCACTCAGATATTAATGAAAAGGCACTTACATTCATTAACCGCGAATCGTTCTTGATGCGCAACTACTTAAGTGCCACCGCCCAGCCCACCGACGCCCAAGTCGGTTTCGTTGACGAGGAACGGGAAATGCTTAAAGGTGTCTTGAACAAGGACATACTCATTAATTTACGCACTTACGACACCAACTCGATGGTCCTGTACGCCAACGATCATTATAATAATTTCGTCCACTTGTTCATAACGGGCGGACGAGAGATTGTCTTCCTCTATAATTACGGCGATGAAATTGTTAATTTGACGATAGTCGACGAGAGCGTGAGTACGCTGAAGAGCATTCAAGTGGCAATTGTACGGCAGCCGGAACACACAGAGATGCATGTGAACGGAAAGAGTGTGGTGATTGAGAAGGGTACCCAACTATTAGATGAATATTCAAATAAACCGTGGAAAAATCCTGAAATGGGTAAGTGTGCAAGAAGAAGAAGAAGAAAAATTATATTTGTGTTAGTGACTGTGTGTGTGTGTGTAATTGTTCTGAAGATAAGTATCACTGAATAAATATTTATTAGTGAAATGAAATTGATTTGAAACTGGCATTGATGAAAATGAATGGAAATAGAAATTGTAAAATTTGTATTATGTGTGTGTGGGCGTACAATGATGCTGGGTATTTGAAACGTAGCCTCTAATTTGTAATGTAAGTCAATTTGCATATTTTCAGATACAATTTTTGGTAGGAAGAATTATTATTATTTTATATTATACTAGCTGGACCCGTGGCACTTCGCTGCCCCTATCAAAGGCCAAAAAAGTAATGGTAATTTTTACGATGGAATGTGTAACTGACTTAGAATTTTTAAACGTATAACATTATTGTTATGGGAAAAACTCGTAACTCAAGTGACAGTGCATTCCAACATCACGCAAATATTCCAAATTCGAGGTACCAAAATATTGGGGTTTCTGGAGGAGAGTGTGAAAGGAAACATACTTAAGTGTCCACGTAATATATTTAGTGAATAAATCATTCAAAAGAACTTCCAAGAAAGCGAGTAATATATTCCGACGCGTGATTGTCACTACGTAGATTATAAATAAAGCGTGTTATGGTATTAATAATTCGCTTTAGCTTATTAACATGCAAATCAATGGATCCCGAATACACTCCAAGTCCATATAAGAGCAGTGACATTAACGGAGCATTTGCCAGTATTAACTTTACACGTTGCGTTAAATATAAATTAGATGCAAAAATTCTACGCAAAGTGTTCTAATCCTTCCCCGCTAAAACAGTTGCTGTACAACAATAATTTTGCACTGATCTAGGAATATATTGAAGGATGGGGGATTATGATTATTAGAACAAAATCCCAAAGCTTTTGGTTTGAAAATAATGCACAGAACGCAGTGCATAAAACCTTCCATCAAAGTAGAAGTATCCATTGAAAAGCAGTAATAGGATCAGCGAATAAAAATTAAAGATGTATCTAAATTTGTCATATCCCAGTTTCCGACTTTTAACGTGCCTTCTAGATGATCAAACGATTTATAATTAAAATTCACACTATTCACTTCGGTGTTTTTTAAGCCAAATAACATTTTTTCCAAAGTAAATATGTTGTCACAAACTGAAAAAAACAGTAAGGAAAGCAGTAAATTCGGACTGGGCCGACTATATGATACCATTCACCACTTTGGGTATATTCTACATATGTACCCTAACAGTCGTCGCCATTTTGAAGGAACAATGACATGAAATTGAACGAACTTAAATAAGTGAAATTTATCTAACATCAATTCCTACACATGTCATTCTGCAACCCATGCTAAATTTTATAAATCCATTTTAAGCAAACTTGACACACGCTATTTGGTATGTTGCTCGGTTTAAAATTTAATCTCAATCAGACATCCATTGATTACATGGTGTACATTTACCATGAACCGAATTCAAGGAAACTTACCAGAGATTAATTTATATCGGACGAACATATATATGGAAGCTACATCTAAATCTGAACAGATTTTTACGAAACTTTGCTAGACTATTCTACACTTAATTCAGTACGCTATGCCAAAATTCGTGCAAATCGTTTATATAGAGGCTTTAATGCACCATTTACATAAAATCGGACGAAAATATATTTTGGAGCTATATCTAAATCTGAACAGATTTTCACGAAACTTTGCACGCATTATTCTAGACTTAATTCAGTCCGCTTTGCCAAAATTCGCGCAAATCGAATGATTTTCAGGGGCTTTGGTGCACCATTTACCTAAACTCAGGCAAAACTATATATGGGAGCTATATCTAAATCTGAATCGATTTTCATCGAAACTTAGCACAAATCATTTCAGACTTAATTCAGTACGCTATGACAGAATTCATGTAAATCGAATGATATATAGCGACTTTGGTGTACCAATTACCTAAAATCGGTCGAAACTATATATGGAAGCTATATCTAATTCTGAACCGATTTTCACGAAACTTAGCATACATCATTCTTGACCTAATTTAGTAGGCTGTACCAAATTTATTGCAAATCGAAAAATATATAGAGACCATTTACATTAAATCGGACAAAAATATATATGGGAGCTATATCTAAATCTGAACCAATTTTCATGAAAATTGGCACAATCATTCTGGACTTAATTCAGTACGCTATGCCAAAATTGGTGCAAATCGAATGATATATAGCGACTTTGGTGTACCAATGACCTAAAATCGGGCGAAACTATATGGGAGCTATATCTTAATCTGAACCGATTTTTACGAAACTTAGCACACATCATTCTTGGCATAATTCAGTATGCTATACCAAATTTCGTGCAAATCGAAAGATATATAGGGACCATTTACATTAAATCGGACGAAAAAATATATAGGAGCAATATGTGAATCTGAACCGATTTTCACCAATTTCAATAGGGTTCGTCCTTGGGCCAAATACATGAGCTGTACCAAATTTTAACCAAATCGGATTATAAATGCGACCTGTACTTTGTTTACAATTTAACATCAACAGATGGACGGGCGGACAGACGAACATGCATAAATCGACTCAGAAAGTGATTCTATGCATATTATCAAAAGGACCATAGGTCTAGTGCGATTTCTTTTGCCTGTTACAAATATATGCACAAAGACATAATACCCTGTACCACAGTGTGGTGAAGGGTATAATTAATGTCAATTATTTTATTGAATTTTCTATTTTCAATATACATAGATACATACATATGAATTTTGTGTATTTAAAAATATATCCTCATTGTTCCAAAATATATCCTCATCGGATGATCCGTATTTGCATCCATTTTACTCAACCATATTTTCAGGTCTAAAAATATACACATAGCCAGTGTTGCCAATTTAGCACTTTTAATGCTAGATTTAGCACTTTTTAAACTCGTTTAGCACCAAAAAAAAAATTGATCTAGCACCTAGCATCTATTTTAGCAT